CCACATAGAATTTACGAAATGATGACTTTTTACGAGACTGCTGATATTCTTGTTTCATCAACTTGTTCGTCAATAACTTACCTCGTTTTAGAAATTATTCATACGTAGAGCGTGCTCTGGCGTATCGAATCAACTGAGAGATATAAACCCCGTAAGCAGGTGACAAGGGTATATTGCTGCATAAGTAAGGGAAGTTGACGATTGAAAAGTTAAAGTCATCACTTTTATCATAAAGCTTTGTTGTTAGATTACCATTAACGTCTTTTTCTAATAAAATATCCAATTATGAAGCAGATGTGGTATCTTTTATCTCAATCTCACTGGAATATATCGTGTCGACATTAGAATAGAAATAACCATTGTTAATTGACAATACGTCGTCGATATATCTGAATGCCGAGTTGAAAGCCACAGCAAGTGTTTTCTTCTTTTCACGTAAAGATTTTGAACAAATTCTGCTTCATATGAATACAAAAATAGGTCTGCTAATAACGGGGCGCAATTCGTATCCATGGGAATTCCAATAGATTGTTGGAAGACCTGGTCTCCAAAAATCACATAGATATTGTCAATCAGAAACTCGAGCATCTTTTTAATGTCAACTTCAGAGTACATGTGTGTACAATCAGACTGTTTTATAACAAAGTAATTTTGCAAATGACCAATGACAAGGTAAGTTTACGAGTTCCATTTTTATTGAAAAAGCAGCTGTCAACGATGTCAGAAAGTCTGGACTTTAATTTATCGTGGGGAATAGTTGTATATAAAGTTGAAAAGTCGTAAGTTTTTATGTTGTTGATTTTGGTAAAATTTTGTGATTTCAAAATGTTTCATACGTTCCTTGGAATTTTTTAGTATCCACATCTGATTTACACCACTCCTCGAATATATTGTTGCACAGTACTCTTGAAGTTTCTCCTTTACTACTGTTAATATCTTAGTGAGGAGTAAGAAAAGAGGCTTGGTAGAACATTTACTGGAACCCGCTATGTATCTTTGTTTGTAAGAATTTTTATGAAGTTTTGGAATCCAATATAGATATGGTAATTCAAATTCATTTTGGTTGTTGGGAATATTAAAAATATTCAAAACTATGATTTTGAAGAATTTCCTCATTAGAAAGGGAGCTATGAGTATAAGTTGGATTATCACTTGTAGAATTAAATTCTAGTTCCTCTAAAATACAATTTATATAATGAGCCTTACAAACAAAGACAATGTTGTTACTTGCTTTGTCAGCAGGGACCACTACGTACTGATCGTGTGATCTAATTCATTTTTCAATTCTGTAATATTGAATACAGAAGGATAGATGGTTTTCATACGGCCCCTCAATCGTTTAATGCGAGATTTAAACATATAACTGATACATTTAATCCATTCTGACAAAGTGTCAAGTTCTTCTTTTTCATGTCTGACCCAACGCCTGGCGTAATCCTCTACAGAATCCATAATATGTATGAAATTACGGCGCCAGTAAAAGGATCGGAGTTCCCTATATTTAGGACCTGTCGCCCGCGTGGCACAGTAGTTAGAGCGTTCGCTCTAGAGTCGCGGCGTAAGGAGTTGATCCTTACGTCGCGGGTTCGAATCCCACTGTGGGACGTGGAGACCGGTCCTTCGGATGTGACCGTATAAACCGAGGTCCCGTGTCGCAGTAGGTGCTGGCACAAAAAAGATCCCTCACTGCTCAATGGCCGTAAGTGCCGAGTATAAGACAAAATTTGCAGCTCTCCACCGGCAAGTGGTGGCGTTTTCATATGAGTGAAAAATTCTCGAGAGGGACTTTAAACAACATACAAACAAACAAACAAAAATATTTAGGACCTTTTAAAATTAGTGATCTAAGGTCCTCATTATTAACTATTTACGTCACCAGTAATAACGTGTCCATCAGACTACAGTTATAGGGTGAAGAAGAACATGAACACGAAGGAGGATTATGTTTCAGATATTCGATATCCAGGCCCTGTAACATGTGTAAAGTTTTCTTGTAATTAAAATGTTTGGAAGCAATAGTCGATGTATATTTGTAGGCAATACAAGGTGTAGTCTTCAACTTGAAATATGGTGCAGACCAAGACTGGACACTTTTTGATTAAGAATATTACTTACATTAACCGTGTCAATTCCTTTGTTGGCATATTGGAGTTTAAGGAAAAAAACGGGTTGTTTTAGCTGCATTTTCTATTGTAAAACGTGGCGGTTTAAAAAGCCTATGATTTGGAATACCCATAATCACAGATCCGAGTCTGTATGGAAGAGAGTCCATGCATTTCTTCGCGAGAAGTGATTTGTTTTCTTTTTACTACACCTCTAAGTGGCCTCTAAAATTTAGGTGCCAGCTGGCGCCTTATCAAAATAATTTAGTCACCAATGCAAATTTTAAGTCGCCAGGCAATTTTTCTAAGGCGGCAACTTTAAATGTTAATAGAATACAGGGACCGATGACGTACCTAAGAAAACATGGTATGTCCATTGCTAAAAATAATTTCCTCTTCTTTTAAAATTCATTTCGCTTTTTCAAAAAAATTGTTAAAAATGTAAAAATTTCTGAAATTCGACGATCGCCAAGTCAATTTAAAATGGACGCCAATTTGGCGACTTATGGACAAATTTTAGGCGCCAATCAAAAATTTTAGGCGCCACGGCGACTAAATTAGGAGCCAATTAGATCCCTGTCAGACAGTAGAAAATTTTCTTTAACATTCCATGCAATCTATCCCGGATGCTTATACAACTGAAAATTTCGTCTTAAAATTTGTAAATGAGTGAAGCGACATTAAGATTTGCAGTGGAATACGTTTTTTTACCATTATATTGTGCTTATATCAAAACTTTAACTGCATACTTATCTCTATATATTTACAAAACCATGCTTGTATGTTAAGTCTTAGAGCTGAAATCGATCTTTAAAGTAATAATTAAGATATTACAAATTAAGATAAATTTGTAAGCGACATAAAAAAATGTTAATTACTACGGAAGCGTAAAGGTCTCTACACTTGTGTTATAATTTTGTACATTGTCTTATAAACATATATTTTAATATATTGTGATTTCTTTTTTTTTTTATATGTTGTATTGTATCTGGATATTTTTCATATATAGTTTAAAGCGTCTTTTCTGCATTATGGATTTTATTGCTAAAAGTTATATCGACTTAAAAAAAATTATTTGAAAAATATTGATTCAAGCAATGTGAATTCAAGATATCGATGTAGTAAGCTCGACACACAATAAAAATATATGCATAATAGTTTAATCGATATAAATATGCTAGTATTTCTATGGGAAAAGTTTGAAAATATTGTTCTCCAACTAAATTGGCGAGCGCGGGAATTCTAATGAAACGTCAAATCACTCAGATTTATTAACGGCACATGCACAAGGTGCCATGTGTAAAGTGTCAAATATTTGTTGTATGATTATAGAGAAAAACGTATTGAAGAAGAAGGGGGTGAGCGGGGCATGATCAGTTAGATTGTCCCCATTGAAGCAATCATCAATTTACATCATTCCAATTAATAAGAAATTAAATATATATGCAAGTCTAGTAATGTTTTTTTCTTATGAATAAAATTCATCAATCTCTCTTTGAAATAAAAATTATTTGCTTACAAAGTATGCAGAATTACAGAATTAAATATTGATGTGACTAAAATAATTAGTGACGCTCGATCCCCCCCCCCCCTCCCTTGTTTCAATGTTCCATTCATAAATACATTTCGTACTAATCCTATTCGGGGATGAAGCGAAAGTAACAATATTATAAAAGTGACACTGGCTATGTACACTGTAAATATTTTATGGGTTTTATTTTTCATTCTGTGGTAAACATAGGGTCTGCCACATAGACGTGAATCTCCATAGTCTTGACACCCCCCCCCCCCCACCCCCCGAACTCAAAAAATATAAGCAGCGAATCATGATAGAATATATATAAGATAAAATTTAACTATCAGGACATCAGATCTACATGTAACTTCTTATTACTTAAAATTATGTAAAATAATTTGTGCTTCATTGCAGCCAATCTGCATAAGCTTAATTATAGTCAGAAAGTTAACAGGGAAAAGGATGGGGGTCAGCAAAATAAAATAAAATAAAAAAAAAAGTTTAATTATCCAACTGCGAGTATTCTTCCTTATTTTGGGGATATATTAGCGGATCTAAAATATACTTAGGTAGCACAAAGATACTCTTGCCTCCCCATCTTCAAAAGTGGTGATGGGGACAGTAGTCCGCTATGACTATGCCTATGATCTAACTACTGATGTTTCTCCATCCCCCTTTTTCAAAACATTTTTGAATCTGTATCAGCCTATAATCGTATACGGTAGCAAATACATGGTACAGGAGCTTTTACTGAATCCCGAGTGAATTAAGACATCTTCCCTCACTTATGTAGCAATATACCATTACCACCTGCATATTGAGTTTGTATCTCCCAGTTCATACGATAGGCAGAAGCTGCATGTTCTACGTACGAACAATTTCTAAAACGAAGCAAGCTACTGACAAAAAAGATGATGAAACAAAAATATCAACAGTCTCATTTAAAGTCAACATTTCGCAAGAGAGAGAGAGAGAGAGAGAGAGAGAGAGAGAGAATAGTTATCACAAAAATCTTACAAATAATACAAATTTATGAATAGGGCATAAAACACAGACCCCTATAAATCCCAGAGGCAAGTCAGATGCGTACAGAAGAAGTAAGCATCCCCTATCGACCCATCACACTGGCTGTGATCCCTTTTATTAATAAAAGATATAAAGGATATGACTAAGAAGTGAACTTAGTGTTGATTGATCTGATCTTAAAGATATTCAAAGAATTTAGTTATTAATTTTTAAACTCAATAAAAAACGATTTTACTTTTTTATGAAAGTTATGTTAGCACGTCATATTTGTTCTGGATATATCAATTCAACCCACTAGTATTTGCCATCTCTCAAACACAAAATTCAACAAAATATCGGATCAATTTCGTATATTCTCAAATTTTGAGTCCACTTTGAGAGAGTAAGTTTAATATTTGCATATTTCCTCCGTCTGCAGCATAATGTGCAGCATTCCATCCACATTCGCTGACATCATGTAGGATTTCAGAAAGCACTTGCAGTATGCCTTTGCACATATCGTATTTGCCATAACTACATGAAATATGAAGTATGGTACACTTGTTATATGTTGTTTCTTTAAGAGATAGATTTCTGTCAGCAAGAAGCTGTAAAATGCGAACATCTCCTCCTTGTGCAGCAAAATGTGCAGCATTCCATCCTCGCGCATCCATGTCTTGTAGGTTGTCCTGGAATACTGACAGTAGATACTTACATATCTCGTATCTAGCATACAAACAAGCAATATGCAGTAAGGTTTCTTTGTTGTGTGTGGTTACACTTAGAGAGACTCCTTTGTCTATCAGAAGCTGTAAAATATTAATGTTTCCTCCTCTTGCAGCATAATGTGGAGTCCTCCAACCAAATTCGTTGACACTATCTATCATTTCAGGATACTTTGACAGTATGTATTGGGACATCTCATAATTTCCATTACTACACGAAACACGAAGAATAGTACATTTGTCTTCTGTGGTCCCCTTAATGGAGACACCCTTTTCAGCAAGAAGCTGTAAAATACGAACATCTCCTCCCTGGGAAGCATAGTGTGCAGCATTCCACCCCCATTCGTTGACATCATGTAGGATGTGTTTGCACATATCGTATCTGGCATTGCTACATGCAATATGGAGTATAGTACATTTTTCATGAGTTGTTTCTTTGAGAGATAACATTTTGTCTGTTAGAAGTTGTAAAATACGAATATCCCCTCCTTGTGCAGCAAAATGTGTAGCATTCCATCCTTGTTCATCTACGTCTTTTAAATTGTCATGGCATACTGACAGTAGATATTGACAAATATCGTATCTAGCATACAAGCATGCAATATGTAGTAAAGTTTCTTTGTTCTCTGTGGTTAATTTGAGAGAGACACCTTTATCTTTCAGAAGTTGTAAAATGCGAATATTTCCTTCTTTTGCAGCATAATGAGCAGCCCTCTATCCAAATTCGTTGATATTATCTAGCAATTCAGGATGTTTTGACAGTATATATTGGGACATCTCATAATTTGCTTTACTACAAGCAATATGAAGAATGGTGCATTTATTCTTAGTGTTTTCCTGAATGGAGAGCCCCTTTTCAGCAAAAAGTTGTAAAATACGAATATCTTCTCCTTGAGCAACAAAATGTGCAGCATTCCATAATCAATTATCCACATTTTTTATTAAAAAAGGGAAATTTAACAGTATATAGTGACACATGTCATATTTAGCATTCAAACAGGCAATATGCAGTGTAGTTAAATTAGCATTAGTGCTACATGAGGGATTAGCTCCTTTATCTGTGAGAAGCTGGAAAATGCGGAGATCTCCTTTCTCCGCCGCAATATGTAAAGCACACCACCCACGATCATCTATATCATTTACTTTACTTAGGGATTTTTCCAAAAGTAGCTTAGTCTTCTCGAAATCTCCGTTCTCAGTTGATGTACGAAGAACTGGTGTATTGATATTTTGACGAGCAGACTGGAGTTCCTCGCTGAGATTTCCAGATCGCTCATGAACAATGTCCTTCTCTATAATAGAAAAATATTAAATTTTATCCACAAGTAAAAACCAAATATTATACAATTATGGACTCTTTCAATAGTGAATATGGTTTGTTATTCCCCAGAAAAATATCAATATTGACCGAGGCGTACAGCATAAAAAATTATCTTGACCTGAGAGGTATGAATTAAAATTTGCAAATTTGATACCTAACTCTCTTTTACATTTCATCTACAGTTCAATCATCAGTCACTAGTTTGCAAAAAGTGTACACAGGTCTAAGTTTTATGTGTGATAATGAGAGAGACTGAACTTATTATATATACAGTTTGGTATGTGAGCAAAATTATGGGATTATTCCCCTTGGTTTGATATTTCCTTGGCTAATGTCACAGAAACAAACTAGAATTTAAATACTATAACGTTGTAATCAAGAAACTTTCATGACAAGTTTGTTTTTCTTTTAAAAGTTTTTTACACAACGTATTAGATTTTAAACAATATTTGGTCGTTTTTTATGATACATGAAGTTGTGTATATAGTAAATGTAAAAGTCACAAGAAACAAACCGCTAGAAGCAGCACCCATGCTAGCCTCAGCAAATCCATGTTCCGATGAATCTTGACTTATTTTCTGAAAAATGAAGAAAATGAAAGTTAAAGAAGCTCTAAACACTGCTCACTAAAGAATTCTAATTCCGTCGTAGTTCTATGCAGTTAGCGTGATCTGCCCTATGATATAGATGAAATAAATAAAAATATAAAGTGAATGACATAATGCAATTTGAAATGGACTAAAGTGTTCTTAGCATTATATTTGACCAAGATTATAAGGTAACAGAATACATAATTTGAATTATTTTCTCTATGTAAGGAAACAATAAAGATTTTTAGTCACTAATATTTCATTTTCTTTCAACATCTTTTTTCTGAAGAAATAAGGCTGGTATTTTACTTTGAAAATAAACTAGATAAACGCGATATGTACAACTTTCATATAAGTAGATTTTTCTCAAAGTCCAAAACACTTTATTCTTAAATGTTAAGAGCAACGTTTTTTTTTTAAATTAAAATCTAATAAGTGGTAAGGAAAGTTGACTGAAATTACATCTATGAAACGTAAACATTTGGCATACACTTAAAGTTATAATCGGATTGTTTTTGTTTTAAGAACTAATATCAAGTACAAGTCATTCTTATAAATTGATATCATAAATACCTTATGCATGGTTGTCTGTTGACAGCATTTCCAAATTTCCAGTTTTTGTTTTTAATTCTTATCCTTTACAGAAAGATATACGTTTCACATACTGTATATATTAGTTACGTTCTTAGGTAAAGTGAAACAGACTTTTAACTTCATATGCATTCCAAATGGAATTCGTTGTGTTTTGATATAATCTTTAAAGACAGGGGAGCCTCTTTCAAAACCTTGGATTATTAAAGGTGACCTACTAGTACTTTTAAGTTTAAAAAGTCAACATTTCGCAAATTCTATGGTCAATATGATGACCTTGTTTGAAAACACAATCTGTCGTTAGGTCGGATGTTGACTGACGTCACACAAATTTTAACACCAAATCGTCTACGGATTTCGCCTTTTACCCGATCATGACCCACAGATGCTTGGGGACGGAATCCCCCCCCCCCCCCGTGTTCCGTACCCCAAGGGTTCTTTGACTTTTTTTAAATAAAATATTTTTCTATGACATATTCATTAAGTATTACAACTGAAAAATCCAAAATAAAACCTAAAACTAGCCTTTTATAAAAATTCAAACTCTGATACTAAAAGAGAACCTGATCAATATTGACTTCATGCGCGCATCAGTTCAATTACTGCACACATCAGATGAAATTGTATCCTCAAATATTAAATGATATTCTCATAAATTTGAACTTTTGTTAATCTGAACACAACAGTGTACCAAATATTATTCCAATTCTCAATGTTTAGTTGAAAAAACGGTCGAAAAACGGTATCTTTCTGGATTTTCAGCTAAAGTACCGTAACTCCCATAAAAATGGCGAAAACTTGTAAATATCTAAGTTTAGCTACAACTCTGCTCAATATTGCTAAAAAATCTCCGTTTGATATTTATCACATTTTTTCCTAATTAAACTCCGAACAAGATAATAAAACTTGATGAATTTTTCAGTCAAAAAAAAAAAAAATCATTCAAATATACAAAATCAATGGGCCATGTAGTTCAACCGAATAACATAGGCCATGCTGTTTTTATATTACATATAGATTTCTAATCTCGTTATTGCCATGCTACTCTGATACTATACTGTTACCCAACACGTCATGACTTAACAATTCTGAATCCACGAATGGTTCAATATTCTATTGAGATTTTCAAAGATTTTTTTTCAATATTGGTATATTATAGATAAAATTTTATCCCACGTTCAGCTTATCCTAAGCCACTGGGAATTGGTTTGAAAACCCCCCAGATGTATCTGCACTACAACTGGGTGCTTGCCTACTAATTTATGACTAATCTTGGCCTTGTTCATAAGAAAAATCATCCCTCAATACTTGTATATTTTCTATATTCACATGTACAAGTATTTCAATATTATGACACTATTGGCCATGATTTAAACAAACTTGTATCTGCACTACCTTTAGATTCTAGCAAATCAATATCTGATTAGAAAAATACGGTTGGTAAGGAGGATTTCGGTTTTCTTAAAATTTATTTTGAAATATATGCGTCTTGTTTTTAAAGACATTTCAAGCGCTCCTTTTCTAGCCATCATTTTTTACCATCTACAGAGAGCTCTGAAAATTGCTACTAAAAAGTGACCTTGAGACATAAGATGGAAGATGAACGGCTCAGTATTTTTCCCCAAAACATCCCCACTTTGAAAACCTGCTGTGGCCCCCACCCTACCCCAATAGGCCTTGATTTAAACAAACTTGGCACTTACATTAACTGCATCCATATCAATATATGTAATAATGGTCCCAATGCTCTTAAAAAGAACATTTCTCTCTATATAATCTTACAATCTTCATTTTATCCAATATATTCCTTGTAAAACTTTGATCTCTTAATATGTCCAATCCCCCACCTCCCATCAAAATGTGAAAAAAAGGTTTTGAAGAAATCAAATTTTTCATGCGTAATGAATAATTTATATGACCATCAGTGAGTTTTGATAATCAATAAAGCATTTCTATCTTCAGAAAATTTTAATAAGAAATCAATCACATCACAGATTTCATAAGCAAATCAATTTGACAAATTATTTTAAAAAAATTACCCTATTATAATTTAACAAATTCTTTACACAGTTTCATGTAATAATAACAAAAATAATAAAAAAAAATTTTACTGTCATTTTTAATTTATAAAAAGTCAGATAAAACCTTCTTCAGAGACATATTCATACAGCTTAATCTAACTTTTAAGGAATGATAAGTAACAAAAATATAAAAACAAATGTGAATTAGTTCTCTATTCATTGACATTGACAGTGATAGTTTTGCCCTTGGGGTCATCAAATCTATCCTGGGTGGTGACTGAGGTCAACATGGTAAAACCATGGAGGAGAATGAGGAGGACCACTGCCATGGAAACAATTCCCATCCAGATCACCTCAGTGAAGAAGGGGATGCAGTCCCAGCCATCCGAGAACTGGTAATTCATAACGCCAAATGGCTGCAGCTGTAAACATTATAATAATGTACATATAATATAAAAGAAGCCAGCAGAGAACTGGTAATTCACAACGTCAAAGGGCTGCAGCTCTAAACATTATAATAATGTACATATAATATAAGACAGCAGAGAGCTGGTAATTCACAATGTCAAAGGGCTGCAGCTCTAAACATTATAATAATGTACATGTACGGTAATATAAAAGAAGACACCAGAGAACGGGTAAATCATAATGTCAAAAAGCTGTAAACATTAAAATAATGTAATATTGATTGAAGAGATGCCCAGGGATTTATCAGCCTATTTTGGGAAACGCCATTTTTTGAGAATTTGGAAAAATTTATCGGCAATTTGATGAAATTGGGAAAAATAAAAAATCTTGCTTACATCATGTATTCAGGTGTAATTCATTTAACATTTCAGCATGAACTCTAAGTTGGGCAACTAAACAGACAATTAAATCTGATCCAACTTCATCAAACAAGATAACTTATAAATAATAGACTAACATAACTAAACTTGACTCCAATAAGTATAAAGTATCTATACAAATATTAGTAGTACATGTGTGTATGAAATTCCAATTTAGGTCATTAGAATCTGTTTCTGGAGATTATAAACCTCCTGCAAAATATTATACTAATTAAGTACACCTTTTCTCAGAGTCCCCATTTAATATGTTAAAATGCATTGAAAATATGTTTTCTATCTGAAATAATGCCTACAGTTCTTAACATTCACTCAGAGATCAATTGAGTATGTGGAAATAACTTAATAAATCTATATTATTACGCAATATCACCATTTTCAGAAAAACGGAGGAAATTCGGATTAAAAGTCGGCGATGTTTAAGGAGTTTTTTAAACATGTTTTATGACTGTACCTTTGATAATTTAGTTAAACATAGGAAAATTACAGGCAATCTGACAATTTTACTTGGTGTTTTTCCAAGATAATTAAATATAAAAGCATTGTTCACCAATTGGGAAAAAATACTGCCAAATTGGGAAAAAATTTAACTCATTTTCAATTGGGAATTGGGCCGAATTTCGGCCCCTGAGAAGGTACTGATAAATCCCTGATGCCAGAAACGAAAAAAGGAGACTGGAACAAAACCTTTCCAGCAATGTAAAAGACAATTGTCACATGATAAAAATAATAACTGATGTCTGGAACACAACACCAGCTATGTCATGTAATTTACATTTTCCAAGGATACTTCTTTGTTTGGATATTTATTTTGATTCTAGTTGTAGCGTGTCATTTTATTGGATAGAAAATTTATATCATTAAATAAGAGTTTGCATGCATCAATTCATCTCTGTCACGAACTCACAATGGCTTGCATCAAAAATGGATCAATTTGCATGACGTTGCATTTGAATTTTGTATATTTGAGGTCACATTTTAAGGGTAAACGTCTTCATTTTTTTTTTTACACTTACTCAAAAAGTTCAAGTTTTTGGAATACAAACCAATGAAGATTGATTTTCATGAGTGATTTTTTTCTAAATGAACCTTTAACTCGGCATATGTGAATTTGTTTAAAAAATTAAAAATTGAAACTTTTCACACTACGTGGGTTAAGTAATATCTACCTTTTAAATTTCCTTCAAAATACCTTCTTTGTGCTACGAGAAGATAATAACATACTTAACCAGGTCGAGGAAACTATTTTCTGTGACATCAGAATAAATTTACATGCTAAATGAGGCACCAACGTGACTGACAAACCGACCAATCGGCTAAATGAGTTGCATTATGGGTTACACCAAAAAATACTACATGTACATTTCGAGAAGGCCAGTGTTTCAAATCGCTCTCGGAAAGATGATGCATTTATCCAAGCATTTTACACACTAAATACAATATGTACATATCATTATCTACGAATTCCATGCTCACATTTACATACAAATGTAATACAATGGTAAAATTTGGGTTTTCTACACTCCATTGTATAAGTCAGTTTGTTGACAACTGCCTGGCAGCTCTATCAGTGAATATGAATTTCACTTGACTATTCCCTGGTCCAAATCAATCAACTCTGAGGTGTACTCACATGTTGTCATTGTTTACTACGATACATGTATATATGCTACTCAATCCACGTTCTATGATTGATGTACATGAGAATTAATACTGTGTAAAATAAATGCCATGCAGCAATAAACTTAGGTTTTTTTTAATAAATGCATTAACTTTTAATTTCTAGTAAACAAATAACAAAGCGACAACGAATAACACCAGTAGCATGGCAAATTTATGAATATCAAGTTATAAAAACTAGATTCTGATTTACTTGTGAAGACTATGAGCGGTATTTCAACGTAACACGGAAATTGACTTTGTTTGTTAATGTGAGCATGGGAAATCTTAATGAGTACCTACTCTTTGTATTTATCACAAAAACATTAAAAATAATTATTAGTTGACTTTCCCACAGTCTGACCCACATGTTTGTAGTAAAATATATGCTTTTCGGCTCATTCATTGGATTGGACGATTGTTCGCTGTAAGCACCGCTGTGCGCAATGACAACAATATCCATATAAGGTAGATTCCCCGACCTGTTAAATGACTAATTTAAAATACAGCTCCCTGTCAAAACCCACCTTAAACATCCTACTTTCTCACCTGGAATCCATCAAAGGAAACCGTGATGTTGGCCCCCGTGCTGTTGCCTGCTTTTCCTAAGCTGGAGCAGTGATAGGAGAATCCCTTTGGAGCAGACACACTGTCTAAGGAGAAGTCATTGGTTTGGCCCTTCACAGTCAGACTGGCCTCTACTACACTCCAGTAGCCTGACACATTACCTACTGCCATGTGCATGCTGTAATGTACAAAATGAGGTCAAGTACAAATTACAAAGAAAGTCAAATAACATTGTACAAAACATGGAAGTGTACAAAATACAAAGCAAGCCAAACCTCTTAATGGTAAAAAGATGATATAGTTTATCTTTTAAGCACAATGAAAACCTGTATAATCAACACAGGTGTAATTAGTTTCACTAAGAATTTTAACCTGCACTCAATTCCCATTTTACTGATTCCCTTATGTACTGTATAATCATGATAATCCGACACCCTGTTTGTTCTGCCAAAAAATTTGTTTCCCAGGGAATGTCGGATGAGACAGGTTTCACTGTATCTATGTAGAGGGTTTCCTCATTCACAAAAATTAATAGTCATGCATGATTTCATACTGACAATCACAAAAAAGTTGTTGCTAATACATGTATATGTAGTAGACTAATAATGTAGTAATAATAATCAGGATCCGGTTGCATGAACGTTAGTTAAATTAACTCAGGGTTCTCACTAGGATTTTGCTAACTTGAGTCCCAGGACTCAAGATTTCTGAGAAGGTTGCGACCCAGCTAAATATGTTGAGTCCTAACTGAATTATTGCAGTATCCTTCCATCCAAACATCAAAATAAAATCTTTATTATTTCAACAGTTTGTTTACGCAATATTACATATTCAAAAATGTAAACTTGGAATACATGTACATCCAAGCCATATTCTAAAATACATGCGTAATCAACTGCCATAAAAATAAACTGGGTGTTTATAAAGCTAAAATTAACTGTTGCATAATCAATTAGTACCCTATGGTTGACTGTATAGAATCACAGGTGTCATGTGCAATGAGGTGTAACTAATCCTGTCGGTCGTCTGCACTGGGTGAAATTCATGAGATAATCAAGCCGCATTGTGTATACAAGCGGTAATTATGGTTTCTAGATAAAGCTCAAGATTCAAAAGTGTTTTTAAAAAGAAGCTGCAGTGTGTAACTTACAGGTATCGGAGTTTGGCATGCGACACTATTATGAATAAACATGAAATATCTTATATTCAATCCCTGTTTTTAAAAAAAATAGAAATTGGTACAAGAAAAGTTGTTTCTTGGATAAACTTTATGATTGCTACAAGAAGGTTTCGAATAAATATTTCTTTGACAAATCCTAACATCTAAAATTTCCGGTTTTCAAAAGCACCCGAATTTTCTTGCTGACGAGGACGCGTCCACTCATGAGTCTGCGGATGCATCGTTTTTAAGAACCTTGCGTCCCAAATAAATTGCTGCGTCTAGGACGCAGATTCTTGCGTTAATGAGAACCCTGATTAACTTCCAGTTAGTGTAGTAACTAGCTGTTAAATTTTGAATGACGAGTTACGTAACTGTCAGTTAAAAATTTGTTGTTCGAAAGTCTATTAAAAATAAATTAGCTAACTCACATTAAATTGATGTCTTATAGTTAACTTTCTGTTAAAATCGTTCTACACGCACATTTCCCTTAAATATGGTAAAATATTTCTGACGTCATAATCAAAATGATGTCAATTCATATATGCTAAGGTTATTTACTTTAAATATTAATTTCTTATATTGGTAAAATATATTAAATATATTATTAAAGATAATTACTTCAAATATGAATTCTTATGTTGAAAGATAGTCATTTTACATGCATATAAACAATGCAATTACAAAGTATGTATTCAGTATTAAGTTCTAACATGAGGCATTGATTTTTGGGAGGGAAATTGAAAATAATAAAAAAAAAAATCTCTTAAAAAGTGGGAGAGGAACAACACCACCACCACCCCCCTCCCCATTTTACGTGCCTTAAGTTTGAATTGAACGATTAACCTTCATTTCAGAAACTTGTCTGAGGTTAAGATTTTTTTAAAATGATGATCATTTTGATAAAATATAATGACATTTTTGTATGCATAATCGGATAAAAAAAAGCACCTACATCTTCACTCATATGGAATGATTTCGTCTTGTTGTTCTTTGCAGATAATATCTCAACATATATCCGCAATGTATACATGTATAATACAATCTTGCCTAAATCGAAATCGGGATTAAATTTGCATGTTGCTCAAGTCAGACATTTCTATTATCTCTGTATAAGTTCTTCCTTCCATGCAAACAAGTTTTGAAATGACAACATGTCCACGATCTTGATTTTAATGTTTAATTAAATATTTAATGTACCTAGGTAACCTCAGTCAAATCTGTTAGTTAAATCAGAAACTTAATTAGGCTTTAACTGTTAGTTAACTTTTGTGCAACCGGTTTAACTAACTGTTAAATTTAACTAACGTTCGTGCAACCGGATCCAGGCAATAATCACTGCTACATAACAATGCTATTTTGATTCTTTAAGAAAATGTGAAATGCATGTTTACATCTTATATCTTTGCCTTCAGTTTAAGAAATATATACAAATGACCTGTATCTAAATAAATGCTATATTGAATAATTTTGTCATTCTTCCTAGAAAGTATCCAAAAAATTGTTAAATAAAAGCAAATTTACTAATATATATCTTAAAGACTCAGTTAAAATTTACCTTAAAGTCATTCGGTCATCTGTATCAGCCTTGAAACCAAAATTCAAGCTATAAAATAAACACAAATGCAATAATTTTTATTATTACTCACACAGTCTATTGATTTCCAGTCAGACTTTCGGAAAAAAAAAAATTGACTTATTTTACTGCAAAAATTCAATTTGAAAAAAAAAAAAAAATAATAATCAGATGTTTACGTTTTTTTTTTTTTAAATAAAAATGCACATGTATATTCAAAAGATATATATATTCAAAAGAAAAAAGGAGTTACTTGCTTAAAGATTTGAAAACTGAGAATGTTTACTAAATCTTACTTGGCTGTATTGTTGGAACAGGATATACTGACTGAAGTCTTATTAACATTATCTGTTTTGTTACTGATATAAGTTTTATTCTGGAACACCACGGTGATGGATCGCATATACATCAGCAGACATGTAGAGTTAATTAGCGTTCCGTTTGCAATGTTTACAACATCAGATTGAACATTAGATACTTCCTGTGTACTCAGAAGTTTTCTCTTAGTTTCTGCACCACTACTTTCGGCCTGTAAAAAAAAAAAAATTCTCATCATTACATATTCTTTGACATGAATGAATGAATGATTAAAATTGTATCGCTTCGATTTTTTTTTTTTCAAATTGTCAAAAATTTAATTTTAATTCTGTTTCTCTTTTTCTTTTCCCTTTTTTTTTTTTTGGGTAAAATAAGAAACATATGATTAATCATCACTCTCTCCCTATGATGCAAAAGAAAAAAATTCAATAAATATTACAGTTTTTTTCCAACAGCAACATCTGAATTACAAACACAGAAAGACGAAACGTACTTAACTTTTCATATTTGGCAAAGTTACATAAACAGAGGTTAAATTCATAGCATGTTTCATTTTTTTTAAAAGTGCTCAGCTAATATTCTGACAACAATATTCTGTATTGTAAATATGATTTCTTCTATAAACACTTACAGCTTGTGAGGTCCTGGCTGTATAGAGAGCCGTATACTTAACATCACGCTTTGTCAGGTGTCTAATCACTTTAGCTATGGCTTCATCTGGAAGGAGAATTCTATCATGAGATGCATGTATCAAATACTGAGGCTACAGCGCTATCCTTGTCGAGTTTGAAAATTAAAGACCCTGGAGATATATTAACAAAGCGTAGATTAAACTTTGGGAGATAACAGACTTAACCAATAATCTGCTAAAAAATGTAATGGAAAACAATGACTTAGTAAACATTGTGCATGATTGTTAAGTTTTGTAAGTTCACATATCTTGATTCTAAAACAAATGTAGATTTAAGTTATTTAGAAATGGGTTTTTCCTGCAAAAAATCATAAATTCTGATTACTTAAGAGAATATGACCTTGACCATGAATGTATTTTCTCCAAAAATTAAAGATGTAAAAGTTTTACTTAAATGTATATTAATTTATAGTCCGTGCTCTCTATTATGTGTGTCTGGTTTTTCTTTACCATAGACCTTTTAAATTAGTTCTGCAGCTGCTAAACTATGTGCTGAAAGCCAGTAAGTATACCATTCTTCTTGAAGCCCTCTGCTTCAGTGGGACTGTCAGATACTGAGTTCAAGGTCACAATGATCAAATTAGGAACAGCCGTGTCAAGGCCAATCTTGGTGATGTCTTGACCCTTCACTTGGTGAACTTTTCCTTTGAATTTCTTGATTGTTTCATCAACAGCGAGACCAGGGAGATGAACGGATGGGAGACTTACTGAAGATAGGTCGTCCATGAACCCCTATAAAATGCAAAATTTAAAAAAATAAATGAAAAATCGTAATATTAGTTATCGATCATGATCAAGACATATGCCTACTTTACACTTTTGTTGCTTTGATTTGTCAGGTACAGTTTTACTCAAAGATATTTTTCAATCATTTCTATTACAATTGAACTTTGTTATCTAGACACCCATATCGTTAATATCATGGATATGTCGAAAAAATTTGGAAGTCCCTACCACTTATTCTATAAGAATTTTACTCTTAATATCTCAAATACTCTGGCCTTAAGACCACAAACTGAGAACAGACTTAAGTCAAAACTTTGATTATGAATTTCTTGGGTTTTGTTTGACATATGAGTTTTAAAAATTGCAGGACTGTATAATGTTCAAATATAAACAAGTGATGATAATTTTGTTAGATTATGAAAATTATTTCAAAAATTCTATCAATTTAAAATTTTGACTTAAGACTGTTCTCAGTTTAAGGTCTTTGGGCCTGACATCACAATTTTTTCCCCCAGTCTCAATGATGTTTGAGATAACAAGGTTTGAGTGTATTAGACTGTGGTAACTTTTGATTAATAATACCTTGATGTTCTTGAAGACCCCACCATCACTCTCTGGGTTGTAAACATCGGCATGCTGGGTGAAGTCCTGCAGACTTAGCTATCAAAAAAAGTCAAAAGGAGGATTACAGTGATGCCTTCCCATCTAAGTTATTCAATAAAAAAAAAATTGGAGGTGTGAGTTAAAACAGGCTTTTAACAGTATCATATCAAAGACTTTCAATTTTAATTTCATGAAATCATCCTTTCCACTATGAACTGTTAGACTTTTTTCAGTAAGCCCAAATTACAGAGTATTGATGTTCATGATTGTCCAGTCACTGGATTTAGGCAATTCAATGAACCTTGATGTCTTAAATATAAATTTACATAGATAAACTCACTTTTTTTCTAGGTTTAGAAATAATATAAAAGGACTTACTCAAAAATAGTTATACATGTACTACAAGCTGTAAAAATTACCTTGTCCTGCATAAAAACAACAAGGTTGCCATCTTTTCCAGTTGTCAGTGGCTTCAAGTATTGCTGTGTAAAATCTGTGGACAGGACAGTTTTTCCTGCATTGCTCTGTGGTAAGTCAGCAAAAGATCTGTTAGAATGAAGAAAATATATTTACATCTTTAACCTTTAACAGGATAAATAAGTAACATAAGTACTAGGAAGTAAAACATTTCCATCTCAAAGTTTGTTTTTTATACATTTTAATATAATCACTTCCCAACTCAACACAGGGTTAAAAATTTAGTCTAGACATATTCCCTTAGTGTGACCACAAATACATGTATATTTTAGTGAGAGTGTTACATTATTCAGGGTTCTCCATCATTTCAAATTTAACTGTGGCGCAAGAGTTACACAAAGTACCAATACTAGCAGTCATTTTGCGACCGAATTCGCAAAAGAACCACGAAAAAAAATAGAGAAACACACAACCCTATGAATCAATGGTTTAATACACAAATGGCATTAATTATTTAGCAAATTGATTTCTAAATTTAATAATACCGTAATAACAATTAACATAGTGTAAAACAAAAATTTGGATGTTTCCATAATATATTTGTATACTATGAAAAAGACCCCCCTCCCAATATATACGTACAAATATTAGCTAGCTTATAGAATTTGAAAATAATAGAACCAGTCATAAAAAGTTTAAAACATTAAACCCTTATTTAAAAAAAAAAATAAATGTGTTTACAAAAGGTAAATTAGATATCTACAGTGTTCATTAATTGACAGAGGAAGTTTGGTAGGTTACACAACCACATTTACATCTATTCTAGATATATTAGCAATTATTGGTCTGAAGATGAAGTATCTTAAAACTCATGAATTGAAAAACAGTTAAGCAGTTTAGAGTCATAAATTTATATTTTGATGGATCTATTGTTAACTTTTCAACATTACAAAAATACTAGTACATGATTATGATACACATACGTTGTTTGATTTGCAGTGCCAATGCAATTTTAGAGACCTAGGTATCTGTAGAACTACTGAGGCATGAATTAATTGATTTTAAAATTTCATTTTTAATTATTGTGAAGTGTGAAAAAATGGCTAGTCTCATTTATCTGTCCAGTGAGGTCTAAAAGATAATTGATTGTGCAAGCCAAACAAAGTGCCCTAATTAGAGTAAATTAACGGTTTAGCATTAGAAACTGAAAAAAAGGTACATAATTTGGAGGTTCATTTAATCTATAAATTTATATATTTATCATACTAACGATGACGATCCCACTGTGGCGCTAATATTTTAACTGTGGCGGAACTATGGCGCTGATTTTTTAACTGTGGCACTAAGGAATTTAACTGTGGCCGGGCCGCCACGTTAAACGGCCCATGGAGAACCCTGTTATTTGCTCACAAACGTTATTGATAAATATTTGGAATCTTTGTAATTTGCATTCCAGGTTTGTCATTTCTCGTTTGAGGTGCTTAATAGTATTACTAATCAGTAATCAAAAGCCTGAAAGGCTTCAATGGCGTCGAACATGAAAAGCAATTTTAAAAGCTCTTTCTGAATTTGATATCAAATTTTAACTTTTTTACTATTTTAACTATTTTTTTTTTTTTGCGGATGCATCATAATACTGAAACCTTTTGGTGTAAACTTCTGGTGGTGATTTTGATACTACGCTAGCTAGATGACGTTCGAACTCTGCTCACTCGAGACCATAAAAATCTGACACACAAAGGTGTTGGAATGTGAATGATTGTTAGTGATTTTTAAATCCAATTTATTTTAATTTTTATATCTTTATGGAACTGGGTCTGAATTTTAGTCTAAATTGCAATATTTTGGGAGGAGGCTCTTAGTTTGATCATGATGGGTGAGTTGCATATGAATTAAGAGTGGCTGTGATGTGTCACCAGTGATAAGATGCATTTTTCTAAATTTCATAATCAAAATATATTTATATCATAAATTCCTGCGTTTCCAAGACGCATGGGGTGGGTCACATAGATATTTTCGAACGAAAACATCTGAAAAATTAAAATATTAGAAAGATCTTAAGTAAATCTTTAAGAGAGTAGTTCATTAACACCATTATTACCTGGAAGAAGACCACAATAAAACTGGTACTTTAGTGGAAAATGCAAAGGAGAAACACCCCAAAATTATCAATGTTCTTCCTATGGCCTCCATGATTTGGCAAATATCACGTGATTTAAAATCATGTGATTGAGCTATAATTTCTGAGCCAAAAAGAGGGACTATATAAATTCCGGTAATCTTGTATTATACAAAAATCGTATGTTTTCAAAGTTTTTATGACGAAACAATATACTTTATGTTTTTAGATAACGCTTTTAAAAAATAAAATAAAATAAAATTGTTGTCACCTGCACTTCTCGTGATTGTTTACTCTCGCGATAACTCCCGAGATCTTCCTTTTCCTTTAGTCGCCATTATGGGTATGTTGTGTTTTGCACGTGGTTAACATTTTGTTGCATTTTCGGCATTAAATTTAAAAGATATTCATTATGTTTTAAATAAAAACCAGTGTTATAAGACAGATTTATAATTTTTATCTGCGACTAAGCGTTACAAAGTCCCTGTCTAGAGTAAGAACACACTGGGTGCATTTTTATTGCATGGCATGTGAGGAAAGTGTGCAATTTCTGCCGTTTCCTGAGATTTGGATACAAAGTACTTCAGATGTCAACTCTTCCTGGCACGACAATAATTCAAATCTCGGAAGAAGGAAGACTTGAGATTTTGGACGCTTAAGTTTAAAGTGTTTTGATCTTGAATTATCTAATAGAATTAAACAGGTTAATAAACAGTCTAGACGAACTCCAAAAACAGCGTTTCCGGAAGTAAGAAATTGAGACTGAAAAAGACTCCGAAAATCGAGTCCGCGCATGCGCACACACACAAAAAATGGCGATTTTTCGGCAAAAATGATGGGTCTACAAAAACTGTCCGTGCAAAGTTTTGGAAAGTATGGCAAATATATCAGTACTCAGAAATGCTAAATAAAAGACTTCGGAAGAGATCGTATTTGTCAGATTTTTGATTTTATTTGCAATAAAGGAGATATTTACTTTCAAAGTTAAAGTTTCAAGTCAGATCAATTACAGAGAAAATGATACGTTTTGAGAAGTAAATATGCATAATAAAAGGGATATATATGCAAAATGGGACAATATATATTGTAACTGTTAAAAACTTGACTGAATTTTACACATAAATTAGCATTCTGGTTTTTTATTTGTGTACGACATCTGAATTGAACGCGTAAGTTTTTACCATCGTCATTTACCGATATACGAACATATATTATTATGAAAACATTTTTAAAACTATTATCTATCAATATGAAGACTTTAAAAACCACTCTTCTGGATATATTAAGGGCACAACATGTCTTCTAAAAATGAACCCGTTAATATCTCTGCTCCGTGGTGAAAAATGCGCATTTTCTGATTAAAATGAATACAAGTTGCGTGTCTTCAAAAACAAATAAAATTAAGCACCTTTATTGTAGGAACGACATAAAATTTAAATCAAGGAGACAATAAATTAAATAAGAAAATATTTCTTACCGGCAGTATTAAATTCGATGTCGTATATCCAATTCACTATTATGCAAGAGTTTGAAGCAATAAATAAGTCAATTTTCACAAAATAATTTAATAAATGCAATTATCCATTCAACAAAAAATAAAATAAAGTAATAATGCACTAAATCCACAATTATGCAGCCGTATATTTGGAGAAAGCGAACGACAATCCATCGTTTGTTTACATCGGACGCCATTTTGCCGCAATGCATGATGGAGCCAAAGACTTCGTTTTCGGAGTTCACGCTGTTTTTGGAGTTCGTCTAGACTGATAAAGCAGTGTTTATGAAGTTATTTCCCCCAAAATGTTTTTTTGTAAGAAATAGACAAAAAATCGCAAGTATTTGATTATTGATATATATTATGGATTAGCTATGAAATAAGCAGACACACACTCAATAAAACACTCAGATGATATCCATTTATTCTTCTTTTCAGCAAAATAAACAAACACATATGCAGAAAGTAGTCATTTACCAATTTCTTACCATTTAGTTAACTAAATTGATAGACTTTGTAAATGTCCGATTATAATCGATAATTTAGTTAGTTACAGTAACCCGATCATCGATTATGAAATTCTTACCGATTCCCGATCATCGATTATGAAATTCTTACTGATTCCCAACACTAGCGTTTATTCTAACCTCACTTCTTATTAGTTCACGCTTTAAAGAATAATCAACAAGTATTCATTGTTTTATGTATTAATGCTCCTTGTTTTTATGTCATGCTTTCAAGTTATCAAAAATGTAAGATACTAGCATGACAACGCTGTCAACAACATGCCACCCGCAATATTAGTATATATTACCACTGATCTTTACTTTCAATTTAAGAGGAAGTAAAACTTTTAGTTAACTTGTACAACATACATTTCATATGAAAAGAATTAGAATGTAATTGTGATCTGTTCCTCAGCAGTTGAATTGTGAATTTTTAGTTTCAAAATTGGGAAAAATTAACTTTTTTTTGGCATTGGGAATGGTACCATTTATCAGCACCAGTTATATTATAAGGAAAAAAAGTAGGCTGGATAAAATAGCTAAATCAAGCTATTCTGAATAGCGTAATAAAGCTATATAGCTTAATCAAGAGATTGTGATGGACCTGCATACATGCAAGATATTAAGTTGGCATTCTCTACTTGGCAGGTAAACCCAGGGGTTTAAGAACCGCCAGAAAATTGGTGAACCACAGACGTGACCAGAAATGGCACGATAATGACTACAAAAAGGCCCATTTACCCTCAAGATGGGTCAAGCCCTTCCAGGGATCTTCCCACGCCAAGGGAATTGTCTTAGAAAAAGTGTGAGTATGATCATGTGGAGGGTTTCCTAGATCACTTGACTCTCATAAATAGCAATATGTCATGTGTGGTCACAGGCTTGTGTTGATCTTTTTGTTTTATTTTTGTACTGATGAAAAGAAATCACCTATCTGTTAAATTATATAGAATATATGCACAGGCGTTTCTTTCATGCAGTATGCTAATTTTCTACTATTCAGTAGTAGAAAACTAGTGTGCTGTATGAAAATACTTATTCACTCAAAGTCCATGAAATCAGAAGTCTCATGTCTCACTTGCCCAAATATTACATGGGTATAAACAAAAAAAAAAATACCGATTTAATAAAAGAGGAATGATGATATGTAATATAATCTAATTTTAATAATGGATGATCCAAAGTTTTTGACTTTCCTAAATTACTATATGAGGGAGAACCAGGGTCATCAACTTATTTCATTACGAAACACTTTTAAAAAAAATTATCCAACACGTCCAAATTACATTTATCTGAAGGCAACCTAAAATTTTACACTTGGTGTCCTAAATCTCAGAATGACCAGTTAAAATAGGTTGCCATTTGATACTTTGACCTGAAGTCTACTTTGAGCCCTGTTGTACAAATTTTCCAAGAGTCTTGTGTAACAGAGGTTTATTTAAGAGCATAGTGGTAATGAAAATTTGGATGGAGAAAGATATTTAGACTCAAGGGTAGATTTCTATAAATATAAACACCGCAGATTCAGAAATTTCTACTGTATAGAAGGAGGAAGGAATGTAGTAATTTGGGCCATGTAAACTATCATATATCCCAACATTTCAGTATTTAAAGCACCTGCTAGTAGTTCAGGGGTCCAAGGTTTGATAGTGGGACAGTGGGTTCAGTTGTAAATTTTCTCCTCTCCTGTAAAACAAGGACTTTCCCATAGGAAATTGCATGTAAACTTCAGGGCTTGACATTAATACTTGTCTGCTTGTCTGGTACCAATGAAAATTTTTCATGGACAAGTGAATATTGCATGGCACTTTTCTGATTGGATATGTGATTTTTTATTTGAAGGATATGTTTTTAAAAAAGTTGAAAATGTAAAACAATTTAGAACATATAAATATTAGCTGATGTTACTATTTTTAAAGCATAACTAGCACTGGTCAGTTTTGTTTCATAATTTGCAATGTATGTAAAAAAAAAAATATCATGTAACAGACTTTGTGAATATATAAGAGTATTTTAATTTACAATATTTTTCAAGTTGTCAATTACTTCTTTATTGAAAAATTCCTGACAAATAAAAATTATATTTGGCCAAGAAAATTTCAAATTTCATACTCATCAACTAGAAAAGTATGAAAAACCATTAATGTAGAGCCGTGGACTTCTTACAAAACCTTAAAATGTCAACAATGATAAGGTATAGTACTGAAATATAAAGGTCCCTGGTTATACTAGATATGTTTTATTTCTTCATGTTTGGATATTATACATTTGCCTGATCTCTATATTAGACTCATTTGAAAGGTGTAAATGCTTGATTGCCATCAGTTTTAAATCATTAAATGTTATGGTTTCTTTTTCAAGTGGAGTTGAAGCCAAACAGCCAAACTCTGCTATTAGGAAATGTGTCAGAGTTCAACTTATTAAGAACGGAAAGAAAATCACAGCTTTTGTGCCGAATGACGGTTGTCTTAATTACGTGGAGGTAAAATATGTTTTAGTACAATTTTAGTTTCACATAATAGATAAAGATTCTACTCTTTTTCCACAAAATTTTGTCAAGCTTTGATGGTTTGGTCAGCATACTTATATGAGTAATATCTCCTGATTCTAAATACAGTTACAGGGATTTATCAGTACCTTCTTAGGGGCTGAAATTCGGCCCCATTCCCAATTGAAAATAAGTTCAATTTTTCCCAGTTTGGCAGTATTTTTTCCCAATTGGTGAACAGTGCTTTTATATTTAATTAACTTGGAAAAACACTGGGTAATATTGTCAGACTGTCTGTAATTTCCTCTATTTAACTCATTTAGCAAAGCCAGAGTCATAACATGTTTTAAAAACACTGTAAAACATTGCCGATTTTTAATCCGAATTTCCTCCGTTTTTCTGAAAATGGTGATATTGTGTGATAACAAGGACCAACCTAGGGGGCGACTGAGGCGAAATAGTCGCTTTTGAGCTCCAAACTTCGCCGTAGATTATCACAAAAGCGAAGTTTAAGTCGCCCTAGAAATTTTAACCCCCCTTTTTTCTTTTATTCATTAAAATATATCAAGAACATCTGGTAAAATCGCCATGGTCTTTAAGAAAAATTTATGGTGTTTTAACCGTTGAAGTAAGATGAATCACAGCAGGGCACTTGCATCTGTTTCACTGCTACTGACCATTAAGCGAGTACTCTGTCGGAACACCTCTAGAATTTACCCTTAAAAGTATGAAAAAGTCTGTAAGTAGAATTTATACATAACAGAGACGAAAACCACCTGGCCAGCTATCGATATGATGTCAAAGTTGTTGAAGAAGATTTTTAGACCTTTCATTGTCTAAAGATTACAC